CTTAACTTTTGCATAAGCCAATATTAATTGATTTACGGGAAACTATAAGCTTTTAAAGTCTTGTGCACTCTTTTATGAACGTTATTAATTTGATTATGAGGCGTACAAAGTAGTAACTACGCTATTTTGCTTTATGCGCTACTATTCTTATTTGCCCATTTATTCCTTTACAGGTTGAAATATTTTTTCGATCAAATTTGGTCCTCACTATTTATAAATCCTACTATATAATCAATATTTTGATTTTATTAGATTTATGCATATGCATATGATATTATTTTACGCTTATTTATGATCATTTTAGCAAAATCAGAATACAAGTTGAAGGACCACTTATCGTCATTCTTCCTCATTTTTACTTTGTTTAGTGAATTAGATATCTTTTTCGCACAGTTTCTTCCTACTATCTCTTAATTCTTATTGGTCAAAAATAAGTTGTAAGAGTTTTCAGGCATTTGTTTCTTATACATTCTTCTGGATCATATTTCATTCAAGTTTGAGCCTATATTTCTACATTTTCTTAACCCACAGCTATAATCCTCAAGAATACATAGAAAAGAGCCCAGAGTTGCGTCAGTGCTTGGAACAAGTTCGAGACGGCTACTTCTCACCCGAGAATCCAAACCTATTTCAGGACATTTACAACTCTCTTGTATTCGGCGGTGATCGTTTCCTACTATGTGCCGACTACGAAGACTATATTAAGACTCAGGATCGTGTAGGAGCTTGCTACATGGTTAGCCAAATTATTTTCTAATTTTGTTCACTACTTAGTATTTTATCAGTCTTTAGTTTGTGTCTAATCGTCGACACTTATCGGCTCATTTTTACATCGTATTTATGTTATTTAGTTCTGGTCGTTCAACGGTATTTTAGACTCGTGCTCGACGATCAAGTTATCAACATAATTAAGGAACTTTTTAATTGAATATTTTCACCCTTGAGCTTATCTTTAGACATATGGATACAATTTACAATTTTATTCATAATACTGTGCTAGAACCCTACATATGACTGCTGTTTATCTCAATCGCTATTTTTCATTCATTCTTTCCTCTTAATTTTGACCAGAATGAAGATCTTTGGGCGCGAATGATGCTTTTTAACATCGCATCTTCGGGCAAATTCTCATCAGATCGTACTATCCGCCAATATGCTCGTGAGATTTGGGGTGTCGAGCCCTCTGAGGTGAAGCTTCCGCCACCATCAGAGCCCGTTAACGAGTAGACGGTGCTACTCTTCTCATCTACCCATTGCATCCATTCTTTAGACCTCACGCGCAGACTAATGGATATATATTGCCTCCCCTAAAATTTTCGCATTTCCACGTGACTTGAAGATCTTTGGTCTCACAGCTGGTCTGCTTTTGTGCCCA